ATCCAAGGAACTTTGAGCAACTCAAGGACCAAAAGAGAGAGTTGGAAGTTCCCTAAAACCATTTTTGAAAATTTCAAAGTTGGGAATTTGGATCAAATTTGGTTTCACCAAAATTCATTTCCATTATTTCAAAAATAAAATAAAGAGAGAAGATAAAAGGACTTCTTCAAAAGCAGAAGAGATATATTGGAAATTGAATTTGAAATCAAAAGTTATTTAGCGGGTTTTATTTGCAAATTATTTTGATGCGAATTTTCTTAGCATAGAAAAATGATTTTTTAAATTGCATTTTATGTCAGATAAAAGTTTACAAGGTCATAAGTAAGACCATATAATTATGTAAATTTTCTGGAAAAAATTTAGACTTATTTTATTTGTATTTTCGGTACTTTAGTGTTTCTGAAAAAAAGATTTCGAAAAAAAGAGCCGCGCCACCAGCAAGCCAAGGCCCAGCAGCGGCCAGCGCAGGTACCCAGGCCAGCCCCAGCGAGAGGCCAGCGCCCCAGGCCGTTTCCCCTCCCAGATCCTATTCGGCGCCTTAAGCGCCGAATATAGGTCATTCCGTACAGGGCGCACACCCCCTGTACACTTGGGCCGGCCCATCCTACTTCCTCTTGCTTCTCTGTTTCGAAAAAGGCAAAAAAAACAATGCATTTGCCGTGAATCGAACCGCGCTCATTCGTTCTAGAAGCGAACGCACTAACAAGTTGGTTCAGAAGACACGATGTGCTTACAATCCTTTTTTCCTTTCTTTATACAATGCGAGAAAGCCAACTGTTTTTTTGTTTTCTTTCCTTTTTTTTCTATCTTGATTTTTCTTTTCCCATAAATGTGTGAACTTTTTCGAAAGCGACAATTTTTTTTAGCAAAATTGATGAGCCTTTTTTTCAAATCTGATGAACTGTTTTTTAAATCGATGAAATTTTATTCAATGTCGATGAACTTTTTTCAAATTCGATGAACTTTTTTTCAAATTCGATGAACATTTTTTCAAATTCAGCAAACTCTGTTTCAAATCTGATGAACTTTTTTCAAATTTGATGAACTTTTTTTGAAATCGATGAACTTTTATTCAAACTCGATGAACTTTTTTCAAATTCGGCAAACTCTGTTTCAAATCCGATGAACTTTTTCTAAATTCGATGAACTTTTTCCATTTTTGCTTTCAAAATTGATGAACTTTTTTAAATTCATGAACTATTTTTCAAATTCATAAATTTTAGATCCATGTGATTTTCAGTTTTTGTAAACGAAAGGGACGAACAGCAAATAGAAAAAAGAACGAAACATGCACGAAGGAGCTATAGCGATGGAAGGAAGAAAGGGAACGGGCGCTTGCTGGGCGGGCCCACCCGAGGCTGCTGTATGTTGACTTCTCTAAATCCCTATAATCTATTTGACATGGTCTTGTGATCCCTCTCCTTCTACAGAGGCTAGCCCGACCTCGTTGTCTTCGCCGGAGCACCCGGAGTACGCGAGCTTCATCGCTTGGTTTTGTCGTCGTTCGTCGTCGCCGACCTTCACCGACTCCACCCCCGGACGAGCTACTCTCCACCGCATCTCCTAGACACCTCCACCGCCTCCGACGACCGCCGAAGCCGCCACCCCACCTGACCAGAGCCACCCCAACGTACGTCATTCTTCTCTGAACCTACACGTTCAGTTAAAAAACGGTTTCATTTTAGTTAGATCGTTTTTTCTGGTTTAGTTCGAATCGGACACTCAGTTTTTTTTATAAGCCGTTACTACCGAAACCTTTAGTTAGCAAACGTTTTTTTCAAAATAACCGCAACAAACACACCAACCAATCAGAGAGCGCCACATGGCCTCTGGCCGAATTCTTTTTCTTCTCTTTTTCCAGTATTTTTCCAATCTCAGATTCTATACCAATTCTTCTTTATAGTATAACTTTTACTCTATAGGTCCAATTTAGTTGATTCTTTTTCCTACTAGTTCATAAAAATATCATCTATCTAGAGAATCAAACAAAAAAAATTATGAAAGGTTTAAAATTTGAATTCAAACTTCATTAGGCCATAACTTGAGTTTTCGTAACTTCGTTTTGGGTGATTCTTTTTGCAAATCGAAGCTTGTGATATGTACTATCTGTTAAACCAAAACCATTTATTTTTGTTGCTGTAAAAATTACGTTATGTACAAAAACTTTATTTGGTTGTTTTTTGGAGTTTTCTAAAGTCTTTTATTTGTTTTCTTTTTGGATCTTTGCTTGCATGCTTATGTATGTTATTGCTTGCTTACGCTAGATCATCCGGAGTGCGAAGCTTTTTACTATGAATCTTTAGAGTTCGATGAACGTCGGCAAGGCAAGTTCACATTTTGACCATACTTCTCAGTACCCAGTTTTTATTATGCATTAGTTTCACCCTAAATATTGCATGAGTAGGATTGGGAACATGTAGTTATGCTATGTACTTCATGTGGTATGAACCTATGACCTTTGATCACCCTGGGAATATTGGTTATGTCATATTGCTTGCTCGTAGACGGGGATTGGTATGTGTGGTCCATGCAAGTTGCGAGAGATAAATAAGTTTGGGACAACATAAGGTGGCAACCTTAATACACATCTGGGTGGATTGTTTGGGGCACCTGGAGAAATCAGTGCTCGCCTAAGGGGATACCGGAGTATCCGTGTGATTACCCTAGGTCCGCCACTTAGGCTCAAAGGGATCATAACATATTTCATGCCTAGAAACTTCCATGTGAAGTCACAAGCCATTATGGGCTCTGGCATAATTGAGTAAGTTGGTGACCTTTTTCCGTGGTAGACTAGTTGATGTAGGGGAAAGTAGGTGTACCGGTCTACCCAGGGTTTAGAGGAAATACTTCAGAAAGTCTATGTCTTGATCTTTCAATCATGGAGATGATCGAGTCTTGTGGGGAAGTGCGCAAACCTCTCAGAGTGTACAAACTAATCATGATTAGTCGTGTCCCTGTTATGGACAACTTGAGTATCTAGAAGTGAATTATTGGCTGATCTCATCACTCTTTTAATGAAATTATTGGATTACCAATAACTTGGGAATTTTGGGATTGAGTTGGAGAAACCTTCTCAATAATGGCCATTTTTAATTTAGTAGAAAATAAAAATTTATTCCTTTGTTGTAGGGTCAAATTTGCTTTATGCAAAAAATTAAATTTAGAGCCTCCACCAGCTAAATTTGCATATAGAGATAGTCTTTTTTTCTCATTATTATTATATGGTGTGAAATTGCCAGCACATACCATGTGCCGACCTACACGGCTACAACGTCTCATGTTGCAGACTTTTATGACGAGGATTAAGGTGCGATAGGTCGTTGTTCTACACTCAGTTTGTCGTGGAGTTGGATGGACTCATTTTACCTTTGGAGCTTTCGCAGTTATTTTATTTAGTTGGCCTTCAGCCATATTTATGTAATAAATACTTTTTTGAGGACCTCGATGTAATAAAGTGTGTGGTTGAACTCTGTTATAATTCCTCGAGTACTGTGTGTGTCAGCATACCGATCTAGAGATGACACTTAAGCACAGAGACTTCGATCCATTTGGGTCGGGTCCCTACACCCTGGGCGCAGCCGGCGGTCCACCCGTCATGGACCTGCCAGCCAGGTCACCCGACCGCGAGCCTTCAGGACAGATCGGACAGCTCGTGCTGCACCCGAGTAGCTCCCACGGCAAGCGAACACGGGACGGATGACCAAGAGGCTCTTTTCTCCCACGAGTGGCCTAGGGAGGCGGGTACTCCACCATCCTTTACATTTCTAATGAGTAGTCTACGTGTGGTATGTCTTAACCGGTTTTTGCTCAGTTTTTCATTAGTAGACTACATAATTCTCTTATGGTTAATTAATCGATGTGATAAATCCTTTGCCTCCATCTTGAAAATGAAAATAAACTCAAACAGATCCTAAAAAAGCACTCAAATTGAGTAGCGTTGGGCACGGTGCGGTGCGCTATTGCATCAGCCAGAGTGCAGTTGGTGTAGAATACGGTTGTACCGAACAACGGGACCTCCTAATTGGCGCCTTAGGCGTCCGAAATCAGAATTGGCTGCCGTGGGACGTCAGCTAGGCCGTAGCCTACCAACGCGAGCCGACTGGTTTAATTGGTTCGTCCCGAGCTCAGTTTGATGTTTTGATCGGTTTGGGTGTTGATCTTTGACTTTTGAGGGGACACACATGGATTTAAAAAAAGCTCTCAAATTTGAAAAAATGAATTTAAAGAGTTCATGTATTTTGAAGAGAATATCACAAATTAGAAAGAAGTTTGCGAATTTGAAAAACATGAGAATAGTTCATGAATTTGAAAAAGATCATGGATTTTTAAAAAGTTCACAAACTGGAAAATTGTTCTTGGATCTGAAAATTATACACGAATTTTAAAATTGTTCATGGTTTCGAAAAATGTTCATGAATTTGAAAATTTGTGGTTATAAAAAAAGTTCATGGATGTAAAAAACATTGCAAATTCAAAAAAGTACATGAGCTTGAAAAAAAGTTAAACCAGGAAAAACTGGTTGGAAGCTTCTAGAAGCGTCACAAAACTTCATAGTGTAGCTTCTGTAAAAGAAAAAACGCAACCTACATGGACCGGCCCATCTCCTAAGTAGTGTGTGCCATTTGCCAAAAAACCTCATAAGTTGCACCTGAAGCGCCAAATACGAATTGGGCGGAACAACTCCGCAGCCATTTCACTCTGATTGGGTTTAGCTGCCAATCCGGCCCAACAATGTGGTCGCCAACAGGAAATAAAAAGCCTACATACAAGAAAGAAGACGACAGGTCTGACCTAGCTCCCGTCCCAGCCGCCACCAACTGCCCCCTCGTCGCCTCCCCCTCCCCTTCCCCCTCTCACCACCCACTGAACAAGCAGCTTATTCACCGCGGCTTGTTTGTCGATCCTCAGGTATTATTCGTCAAAAGCCTCCTCCTTTCTTAATAGGACTCTCAGTCAACTCAATTCATCTATATTAGTGTTGAATCAGGCTCGCTCGCAAGATGAAGCGGCTGTATGTGAATCTGGTGACGCGGAATTGGGAGAGTGGGATTTATGCACTGCGCCGCCTCAATCCCGATGTGCACCTCTTCTACCAGTCAAGAAATGACGCAAAAGAAGTAGCAGAGATCAACACGATGGATTCTGCAGCAGATGATAGCATCAAGATGAAATCAGCAGCAGATGCGAACAACAAGACCAAGAGATCCAGTCCAAGGATGCATAGCCTGCGGCCGCTGCCTAAACCAATCGCCAAATTCGATCCGTCACCGTCCGGCCTGTGGATCAATGACGGCCTGGAGTGGTTCGAGCTCCTGGGCCCCCGCCGCAGCGAAAGCAGGGTCGTCAACGCCAACGTGGCCGGCGACACCGTGCTATACGACGCCGACGAGGGCATCATCCTCAACTTGCCTTCGCTCCACGAGCCCAAGGGAACCAACCCCGTCTGCCTCTCAATCACCCACCCCGACGCTGAGGAAGACGCTCTCTATGTCATGGACCGCTATCCCGGCCGGGCCCTTGCGCGGCGTAACACTGGCGGTCCTGGCATGCACTCCTGCTTCGAGGTGCTCGAGTGCAGGCCCAGCTCCAGATTTCTGGACGACAGCATGAAGGGGTGGGGTTGGCGGCCTCTCCCGCCGCCGCCCTTCATCTACGAGCATGGGTATGAACCCACCAGGATCATGTCCTACACAGTTGTTGGCGATGGAACTACCTTGTGCATCTCGTCAGATAGGAATGGCATCGGGACCTACTGCTTTGACACAGTGCGCGCCGATGATACCCACCGCTTAGGGTGGGATTACCGGGATGAATGGAGGCACGTTGGGAATTGGGCGCTGCCCTTCTACGACAAAGCAGAGTATGTCCCTGAATTCAAGCTATGGTTTGGCTTCAGTCCCCCCAGGCCAAACCACCTGTGCGCCGTTGACCTGTCCACCATGGACCATGGCCAACCGCCCATTGTGCATCATGTTTGGGAAGATCTTGATCAGCCTGAGGAAGAGGACTGGGTACCAACGCATTTCAGGATACTGAACCTTGGCTCTGGCAAGTTTTGTGTTGCTAAAATCATTAGCGCAGAGGCAACTGGCATGAAATTTTCGGTGCTCACTGGCATCGAGATGGTGCACGACAAAGATGATCAGAGCCTCCGGATGTTCAAGCACAAGAGTAAACGCTACATGTTCAGCACGCCAGATGTAATCCACTGGGTTATCTGAATAATCTTGCATGGTGTGCCATGTTCACTGCCCTATGGATGGTGTGTGGCAATGCTGGCCTGAGCCTTCCGATCCCCAAGCACACGTTGCATCATTCACTAGGTGCATTGAATAATCTATTAGTACTACTTTTGTTATGCATTCCGTTTTATTATGCATGCTTCTAGTCTATTTCCTGTTTGTAAGATATTATTTGGACAATGCCATTAGCCTGCTTGTTTATGCCAAGTGGGGGGATTTTCTGAATCTACACATGTTACTAGATGATCATGCCGCGCCGGGAACCTCCACCTCTGATCGGGTTAGGTGAACACCGTGTCGTTTGTTAGGGCAATCTGTTTGCTTGGCCTGTCTTTCTATTTTGCCATTGACCGAGATGCTATTTAATTTTTCTAAGTGAGTTTAAGGGGTCTGTTTTTTTTAGCATCATTTAAATTCATCTGCTTACATGCATTAGGTTGTTCTTGTTCCCTGCTAACCATTTTTTTTTCGAGGTTCCTGAAGCATGTCAACTTGCTGTGAAGACACTTGTTATCTGTTTCCCATATATACCCATGCAAATTTTTTATTCAGTACAATCTATCTATACCTATACCTACTATTAAAGGGAGTAGGTATTCTTAGTTTGGTTTCGCTTTGTTTCGTCCCATTTAGGTGTTTTTTTTTTCTTTTTGGTTTCGACAGGTTTAGATGATTATTATTATATGAGGTGGTACTAAAATTCCGTCTATCGTGGAACCTTAAAAACATTTCGCAGTGTTGTTGACCTTTTCTGCCTAGGCCATAGTTCCCTTTTTCCGTCATGGGCCGAGCTGGGCTACTGCAGCGAGAAGTGAAAAATATAGTTGCGCTCTTACGGGACGTGCTATGCAGTTTTTCTTATCGCGTCGGAGGATGCAAGCAGCGAAAAAACTCACCGCGAACACATGACTTCCTATCCTGTAGGCAAAGCAGCAAACCAACTCAGCTAGCATTCAACTGTGCTACAAAATAGGGTACATTACTTAATAGTCCCACCGCAATTCTTTACCCCTAATTGACAATTTCTTTTTCTCCATGCCTAGCAAAAAAAATAATCTGCCCCGTTCCGCCTCCCCCCTCTATGCACGACTCCACCCTGTGCCTCGGGCTTTATATATTACTCCCTCCGTTTCCAAATATTTGTCTTTCTAGCCATCTCAAATGGACTACAACAAACGGATGTATGTAGACATGTTTTAAATTGTAGATTCACTCATTTTGCTGTGTATGTAGTCATTTGTTGAAATCTCTAGAAAGACAATTATTTAAGAACGGATGGAGTATTATTAACTAAAAAATAGATGACGTGTCTTCTTTTTTCAATAGTCCCACCTCGCTGAGTTAAACCGATTGCTATCACTTTATATACATTATCAACTCAATTGCCACCAGCTGCCTTGGGAGAAAACAAAGAGCTGATAAAAGAAGATTAGTGTATGTTGCATGATGTGTCAAATACCTAACTACTTGAGGGCTCCAGATGCAAGCTTCTCTACATGATGTCGGGCACCACATGCTCGGGGTCCAGGGTCTAGGGCTACTCGCGACTCAAGACCAATGGCGGCTACCTGTAGTCCTTTAGTTAGATACAACACGAGACAAAGGAACATCACATGATGTGCCAATAATTTTTTATAAAAATGTGTAAAATACGTAACTAGAGCATGCATGGCCGTCTGTTGGGTTCATGATGCATGTGTCATAGACAAAATGAGACAAAGGGGTCCAGAGTCCAGACCGATTGTATTCTTCGATAGCTCAAATATTTTTTGACAGTCCCTGGTTTGGCTCATGGAGGTGCAGGAAAGAGGATAAACAACCATATATTTTGAAATAGATGATTGCGTAGACATTTCAGAGTTTTGATCTAGACGGAGAAGAGGATAAGCAGCAATACGAGTTCTGCTTTGTGCTCAATAGATGATGCGGACCTTTGTGAGTTTTAAGCCGTACTTACTGGATTGGGAGCATGATATTTTTTCCCGTTGCAACGCACGGGCATGCGTGCTAGTAGGTCTAACGTGCATGCGTTTTGTAGGTCTGTAGCACCATTACAGGAGCATCCTATAGGTCTACATAGCGTTAATACTACACGGTACAAATACACACTCCCCGCTGGACTTCGGCTGCCAGAACACCGCAGTTGTTTCGCTAGAGTAGAGGCAGCCGTCCAGCTCTTCTTGCATCAAACCAAACCCTGTAACAGAAAAAAAAACTGGCGAATCAAATATTGCATGTAAGAGGTGAAAGGGCTATGCTAATATATGCATAGATATGTTGCATCATTTGCCATGGCATGCAGGTAGACAAAAGAACATAACATACTCTTTCGGTCGACCTCGTCGAGGTTCAATGCATAGTTGAACAGCTTCCTGCATTGGCAATACAATTGCTGTCATTGGCTTCTAGAACCATTGTGTTCACCAACAACAGGAGAGTGTCTTTGTACAAGATGCGCATATACTCTATGTGCCATATCATGCAGTTAAGGGATGTATTCAGAGAATCATTCGTTGTGTGCAGGTTCTGGTCATCTGTGTATAGGTGGTTCAACCAATTAGCGATCTGCCTTATTTGCTGGTGAGGCATCTTGGCATAACCATAGTTTATCATTGATACCGGCCAATTAATTGGCATCTCGATCAGTTAATTGCTACTCGGTGGGTCACCGAATAGCTGATTAACTGATTTATCGGCGAATTAACTGATTCATTGAATGATATTATACAATCCCAACACTATCTATTTGTGGTTCTGCATAATGATATAATAGATAAAGTTTATTTACGTCTCCAGTGCAGTACTTGATTGTTGTTTCGACTCAACATATATCCAACTTCGATCGTAAATTATGTAAATAGTATTTTTTTTGAATTACTCAAAATTATACCACTGAAAAGTTCTTTCGAATATGAATCCGACGGTATAACTTTTCTCACAAATAACATACAATTGGTTGGTTTAATTATTGGTCAAAGTTGATTTTTGGAATGTGTGCATACCTTATTCATTGGAATGAAGGGAGTATTTAGTTGAAAAAAAAAATCAGTGGGACGAGCCTGCTTGTTTTAGTTAAGTGGGGTTTTCTTTTTTTTTTCTTTCATGAATATGCAAAACTTGCATATCTTTTGATTCGTAGAAGAAGTCGGAATGAGAACAAAGGGGGTACATCACATGACGCAACCAAAGATGTTGTAAAGATGGTGCCTGAAGGAGCGAGAGATGAGATGCTCGGCTCAAACAGAAGCTACAACATGGGTTAAACTGCCTTGACCAAGAGAAATAGCCGGAAACGATGTCCAAAGTCTCAAAAACCGTCCAAAGTCTCAAAAACCATCACCGGGTACGCCACGAGCAAACAAGATGACGCCTTCATGAAGGTAAACACCACCATGACCATGACCCCCTGGTGCTTGAAGAGGGGCACAGAGAAAGGCCGTTAGGCGGTCAGGATCTGAAGACGGGGAACATGTCACTAGCTGGACCGCCGCGTCCATAAGGGGAGCCAAGCTCGCGGCCCAAGGGTGGCAACGAGCGTCGCAGAACAGGCTATCATTGGATTTGGCAAAGGAGAGGCAAGGCAAGGGGTTGCGGTCAGAGTTGGAGAGCCGACGCGGGGCATAGGCTGCAATGGCAGCCAACAAGATCGGTGAGTTAGGATCCAGAAAAACACATATCTGGACTGATAAGACCGAAGCCATGAAGACACCATCGAGTCAAGAAAGCCGGAAAGGGCGCAACTTAGAGAGCCGAGTCTCAATCGGAAGGACATCGGCGAGCCACGAACACTGGAGAACGCAACTCCAGGCCCGCCGGGACCGGAGCAGCAACAACAAGATCCACCATGTGCATGTCGTCGCGATGTAGAAGGCCCCCAAATCCGTGCCACCACCAAGCACAACGGTTGCATGCTTGCAGGGGCCTAGATCAGTTAATTGCTACTCGGTGGGTCACCGAATTGCTGATTAACCGATTTATCGGCGAATTAACTGATTCATTGAATGATATTATACAATCCCAACACTATCTATTTGTGGTTCAGCATAATGATATAATAGATAAAATTTATTTACGTCTCCAGTGCAGTACTTGATTTTTTTTGAGCATCAGTACAGACGCAAGCGCTCATATACACGCGCATATATTCATCCTAAGAACGCACACACGCACACCCTACCCCTATGAGCACATCTGAAAGACTGAGCCGGCATATCATCTTGAGATTTACGAAGTCACCGTAGGCGCCTCATCGTCGACGGAAACATCTCCTCCCACTGAAAGCGCATCGCCGGAAATCCTGAAACAAATCTAGGAATAATGCGAGCACCAGGATTTGAACCCTGGTGGGTTGGGGATACCACTGCCCACCGTTCCATGCATGGGGCGTGCATGCTGGCTGCGTGGCTGCCCGTGTACGTCGCATCCCATGCGGACTGGGTTGCACGTCCCGTTGTCTAATGCAAACCGTTCGTTCTAATCAATTGCACGTGCCGCACCAAATTCAATGAAGATCGTCATCGAGTATACATGCCATCGATTGAGCAACGGGCTGCCGCAGCGTCGCCCCGTCGGGCCGCAACGCTGCCGTTCCATGGTTTTCCTCGTGGCTACACCGATCCACGCCGCCGCTGTGTCGCCCCTTCAGGCCGTAGCGCCGCAGCACGTGGTCCCCGCCGTCACCCTGAGGCCGTCCCCGTGGTTGCACCACCTCGCGCGCTACCGCTGCGTCGCCCCTTCGGGCCTTAGTGCCGCGGCTCGCGATCAAGCCGTCCGCTCCAGGCCGTCCCCGAGGCTGCACCGACCCTCGCGTTGCCGCTGCGTCACCCCGTCAGGCCGTAGCGAGCGTGGCACGCAATCCCTGGAACCGCACTGAGGTCTTCCCTGCCGTAGCCCAGACCTGCCCGCCATCGTTGCGTCGCCCCTTCGGGCCGTAACGCTACGGCCCGCGGTCCACCGCCGTCCACACGCGTTGACTTCCA